TTTCTGCATGTCTTCGTGGTGTAACGGTTGCACACTCTGTGCATATTCAAGATATCCAGGTTCATGATCCAGGCTCAAGTCATTGCTCCTTTCTTCATTTTCCTGACACTGAAAAATCTTAATGACTCTACACTTTCTTAGCTTTGATCATTATCTTCAATCACTTTGCCTTAAAATTACTTAATACTGAGAAATCACTTGAAGATTCCTTTAAATTCCCTCTCGAGGAAGAACAAAGAGAGAGAAAAAAATCAGCTGGTTTGAAAGCATATATTTATCATTTGAAAAGTATTTTGATTTATATTAATCATCGTCTTAAATTTCGAAGACATTCAGTGACCGCTATGAGACATTCTTCTTATTCCTATTTACCAAAATCCTTGATTGCGAAATCCCTTTGCTAGCTCGAGAGCTTTTATTTTATAATTCCTTCATACCACTACATCCTCGTTTTACGACTGATATTATTCAGATCTCTTACGTAGATCTTGCATGTTCTACAATGTATCAACTTAGTGTCATCGTGACAGTTTCGCACTAACTCGCGTGCTCTGATTTATGGAAAGCACAGAAACTCGAATCTTTGTTGCTTAAGGTCTGATTATTCAAGAACCCTTTCATTCAGTTCAACTCTGTCTTACGGGACAATTACGGGTTGATTTATATTAATCGGAATCATATTGTTAAGCGTTTGTTGTTTCTGGAATACCAGAGTTGTGTCGTCATCGAAGACACTCCACTTTTGGGTCACGCTTGTCCTTTGATTTATGTTAACCAGAATTGCTCACTCTGCTAACCAGTTCCGCAATCTCCATCATCTGCATCTTCCGCAAACTCACTCGAAAATGAACGCAAACCATTATCGCCATCAGCGACCGAAGTCCATTTTGGCAATCGAGGATACCACCTTCCTGTTTCTATTGTCCTTCCTTTCCTCTTCGCTCGGCCATTAGTAACAAGAGCTACACCCCAAAATTTAAATCCCGAAAACCGCTACTACCTAATTCATCATCATTACTAGTGTTGCTATAAATCACAGAATTCAGCTTCCTCTTTTCATCATTCGCAGCAGCTGGCAATGCCGATGTCTGATCGGAAGAGTAATTATGTGGAGGAGGAGCGCCTTTATCTCGATGTTTCATCAGTAAAAGCCCGGAGTCGGTGGTGGGAAGCCGGCTTTTATTTGGGGTAAAATGCGCGTTATTTGTAATTGGGCGGGATTTTGACGGGTGTAATTTCCTATTGCACTCGTGAATTTAGTTTCGAGTTTTAGATTTTAAATATTGCGCGTGGAAAGTTTAGATAGGCTTGCTTCCTGTGGAGGATAGTTTTCTCTCTTTCTCGACTTTGAATTATTAATTTCCTACGTCGCCACAGCAGTGGACTCCACAGTGCAATGAAGAAAAGACGTAAGAACGGTGACGGATGTGCGCTTGCTTAGGCTGCGAAGGAGTTCTCCGGCATTCAATTACGTTGACAGTTGTAATTATCACCTTTACATTCTCGGAGAGAATTTTGCAATTAGTACTTTTCTCTCCGTCCCTGAAGGCGAGAAATGACTCCTTATTAGAAGCCAGTAAATGATAACTCATAAATTACACATTCAAAAAACTTTTTGATCTTACTAGTAATTACTGAAATATTATTGCTAAAGACACTCTGGATACTTATAATCGTTATTACTGGGGAGCTTAGGATTATGGATATAAGACTTCAATAATCACAGATTAAAAAGACAGTACTTTTATTTCAGCCACATATTTTGTGTTCCAAGAAGTGATCATGAAGCTTCCGATGAAGAGCTATAAGAAAACATCACGTACTCAAGCATTATCCCCATTGGCAAACATACTAGTTACCCTTGTTATAGAAACTTATTGCCTGTTGTACTAAAACAAATGTTCAACACAGATTTCTTCCTATCGTCCTCGAATTAGAGTATTTGTCCTTTCTAGAAAAGATTTTCGAGAGAACAGTAAGCGAAATAAGCAGATTGCCAAAATGATGCGGATCTCAGTGTGCTCCAGCGCCTAAAATTTGAAAGCGTTCAGTTTCTGCTAACTAATTATAGAAGTATGAAGAGATATGTTGGGCAGTAAGATCATACGTTTAGGGAGATTAATAAAATGTTCCTGATGTTGTATTAGCTCGGAAGTGTTACAGTATTGGGGTATGCTGCATCACAATATCGTTTTATACCCCTTTTCAAAATCTATCCCCAAGACTATCTTCACGGTGATAGAACTTACTAGTATGGATTCACTTTTTTAAGTTAATTCATTTTTTATTATCATTACATTGATAATATAATCAATTAATCAATATTATTTAGTAAATAAATTATTATTAACTTGCAAGTAGTAGAATAGCTTGTTTTCGCACTAAATGAATTTAAGATCGTACAACATTTGATAGCGACAACGATGTACAGAATGTAGACGTAAAGTTTCTTTGAAATTAATCGGGACTGATTTAAAAAGCTGCGAGGATTAATTGGCAATAATAACTAAATCATTTAAGATTTTTTTTTATATATTTTTAGATTTATCGCATTTCATTCATATGTTCTGCCTACATATGAGGCAGAACGTATGAATGAAATGCGATAAATATTTTCGTGGCAGCCACGTTTCTTTAGGGGATTATGTAGAGTCGTTAGGCTTTTTAAAGCAAGAAAAGTGAAAAAGAACCCTCGCCAGGATTCGAACTCCGGACCTCCGGAATAATTCTCGAGTGTGCTTCGATTTGCACCACGTAGGAATGAGAAAAGGAATGAGAAAATAAAGAAGGCGGTAGCATAACCAATAGCCGCAACCTCAGGATAATAGAAATGAAATATATAGTACATGATATAAAAAATGGCAAAACCTTACAACTACATCCAAAAGTGATCAGTATTTTTAAGAATGTAAATAAACACGAAGTCAACTGTTAAGACAACCCCAGAAGACTAAAATCTTACAAAGGTGTTTACTGTATTTTGTTTTACTTGTGAAGCTGATATTTGCTGTCACATATTAACACTAGACAACGCTGATGGAACGAGATGGCTTCCGTCCTAATAGACGCCTATCGGAATGAGTGCCACCCCGCCCTTGATCAATCCACAATGTTGCGACCCCACAGAACAAGGGCAGGCAAAACAGTAGCAGTACGGTCCCTGCCGAGCCTTACTCTGTCCCGAGAGCCCTAAGGCCTTCTGTGAAGTCTGTTATTAGGCCCCGTTGTTGAGACTGCCTAGGCACAGATCCTAACCAGTACTTCCCAAGCATTCACCTGAGTCAACCCCCCAGGGGGGAATTAACTTTAGACAATAAGATGCCTCAGATATTTGATTGAAATCACACATTTTAATAGTGATTTTTAAACTTAATCGCTGACGAAATTTAATATTTCCCTATTGGTTTTACCGGGGGAAGGGCATTATTATTTGCATGAATAGAAGGGAATCCCTCTTCACAGAAACGTCGGTTTCCGAAATCTAGAATGAATATCGTATTAATAATTTTCTCTAAGAGCCAGGCGATAAATAGTAAATTCTTTTTTCTACAAAGAAGCTTCTGAAAAAAAATTACATTACAGGCAACACCGAAGAAGGTTCAAGGCGATAACGTATTTATGTTGCAAGATGCCACATCTAGGGTAACAGACTTCAACTGCCTTACGAAATTCCTAACATTTCAAAGTATTTAAGTATAAACTTTGCCTAATCTCGTTTACCTTTGTAAATTTTAATCTGTTTTTGTCCGTTGCATCTTCCAACCTCTACCTCCTTGTGCGGAGCATAAGGAAATATTTTTTTATGAAATTCTATTATTACAATTTTGAGTCATAATTTTGTAGATTTAGTATTACTGTTTTTTAAAGGTTTCACGTGTTCTTCCAAAGCAATTTATTCTCATATAAAGGTATTAAATTATTAATTCTCAAGCGTACCTAACTTTCTGCTAAGTAATAAAAATTGAATATCAGTTCAATGAAGCCTAAATAAATTATTTTATATTTATATTTCATCACACAAAGTTTATTAAGTAAAAGAAGTATATTTTATCATTAAAACGACAATAAACATTATGAGGTTACTAGTTAATTAACCAGTTATTTTATGTTCCGGATCTTTACTGTCACAGCCCCTCTTTCGTTTTCCTACCTTTTTAGATTGAATTTGCATAAACACCTATTCTTCTGAATATTTCACATCTATTTTCCGTTGCTCAAATCTGATATCTTATTGAGGACATCTGCTCGCTTTTCTCTTGTATGGATAATAAATATTTCTTGGTTAGAAAGATTACTGTGTGGTAAAGATAACTTTAATTTAAAAAAAAAAAAAAAAGGTTATATAAGAAACGTCTCATTCAAATTTCTTAAGAATTTAACACTTCTTGGTAAAAAAGTTATAAGATGATATTTTCTGAAAATACACATTTTCTCTTATAAGTTCTATACGTTCAACATACCTGGGTACCCCAGGGGAAATTCTCTTACTGAAAATTTTTGTTCATTACTATTTTCTCCGTACATTTTCCCTGCTAATATCGCAGTGATATCAAATACATTTAATGAGTGCATTTAGTTCATTGCCTTTACGACTTCACACTCAGATTGTATAAAAGTAGTTTTAGTCTCCTACTTTTTTAAATGTAGTCCTCAGTCCTTTTACTCGGTGGACCCAAACAGTCAATTCTTGGCTATTTTCAGAAAAATGTCATATTCCGAATTCGTATAATTTACTAATGATTTCATTTCTAGAGACTTGTGGATATTAGTGATTATGCATATGAACTATCAATTAAAAGATGTCATCTGAATGCATGGAGATTTAATCTTGGATCACTACTATTTATTTATGTCTGCATAGAATACTATAGTTTACTTCAACCTAAAATGTAAACTCAAGCTACTAAACGATATTCGATGAGCACATACAAGCAAACTATTTATTACGTAGTATTTATCATTTTGAAGATGTATTATACTTATTAATCTTTTTGTTTCAGAGTCTGTGGTCTGGTGCACAGTCACTACAGACATCGAGCCAGATACCGAGCTCCTGGTGAGCCATCGGTACTCAAATGACGTCACACCTCCTCGAGAATCTTCCAGCAGCCCGGAAGGTTATCAGTCGCACACACATTCCAAAAACCTCTTTAGGAAGAACAAAGCCAATCGAATAAAATGCCGGGAAAGAGATGAAAGTCGTAGTACACCGAAAGACGATGCATTTAATGACGTGAGGGAGGATACCGAAGATAGAAAAATTACGGACCCAAATTCTACCCAAGAACGGAGAAGTCCCTACTATTTTGGTGAAAATGTAATTGAAATTGCAATTGTTTTAATTACTCTGTGGAATAAGCGCGAAAATACACAATTTGATAGTTTATAATTACAGAAGTTTATTACGATAAAACCTAAAATTAATATTTTAATATTTAGAACGTGAACAGTCATTTAGAGTAGCGATCGTCAACCCTTAGAACTTCACGGATCATTACATATATAATTTTACATTTGGCGAACCACTAATATGAATTAAAAAAAAAACCCTTAAATCAGACCTTAAAATCAACATATTAATACGCAAAAATGATATTCGACTTTCCAATGCATGTAATTCTAATTTTCATTTGTTAATATAATTTTCGAAACATTTGGTGTTCAGCAGCCTGCCTTTATGGAAATTCAGGCTATGCTCCTGATTATGAGTAACAATTAAAACACTATTATTAACATCACACCGATACACATATTTCTTTTACATTGAAAAATTATATGAAAAGTACAAAAATCTTACCTTATTGTACAGGAAGCTTCATATTTCCATATTACTGAAAAGGAACTTCACGGAAAGCAAGAACAAACCAGCAAACGCAAAGCAATGTCAATAAACTGAAAGTATTATACTGCCAATTTTTAATTATTGTAAACATAATAATCATCCCTTACTCAGCAAGGGCGCCATCGATCAACAGTTAGACAAAACGAAAACGGAAACTTCCAGTGATGCAATTACAAACAAGAATACGGATGGTTCTCATAAAAATCCATCAAGTTGCCCATTGACATTGAGAAAAACTGTGTTATTAACGACTACAATAGCATATGTTTGTAATTCGAAAGGAAATAGAATTTCAGTTCGCGCTATTATTGATAACAGCAGCATATCTATGGATGCCAACTCTCACTTTCAAATGTCGCTAGATACACCTGCAAAAGTAACTAAAAATTCAGAATTCAGTCGCGAAATTCAGAAGGAATTTCGCTAAAAGTAGTATCTAAAATTAAAAAAAAAGTATAATCCATATTCCATAATAGGATATTTTTTACTTGTTATTTTTTAAACTGAATCCTCATAAAAATATAAATAATGTCCCAATTTTTTAACGGACCATCAAAACGTTTTCATGGTCCACTAGTGGTCCGTGGACCACCGGTTGGCGACCGCTGATTTAGAGTATTATTAATATGACCATGATTCACAAAAAGCTTACATGAAATGAAAATTAATTTTATAGTATAGTACATACGTATGCACTGATATCTTTTAATGGTCTATTAGAATTATGTTCTCAACTATCCATAATTACGGAAAATTATAGATAATAATTATGGATATAATTATCCATAATTATGACTTTAAATGCCATAAAAGATGCTTATTCCTAGAAATCAAACTTCAGCAAACGAACTGGTTGCACGAAATTTGTTTGTTTTGTCCAATGATTAATATGGATGTGGACTAATTTGCCTTAGAAATTTCTCTATGAAGGTATCCTTTCCCTGTATGCCGATTCTTCCATGTGCTTTGCTTTCATCAACTAGACAGCCAATCAATAACGTCTTGGAATTTAGAATTCTCTAAAATTCTTTGCCAAAGCTTACGCAGCTATGATTCAGTGAGTTTCAATTGTGTTTAAAATTTTAAAATTCCTTTTGTACTTTATCTTAGATAATTAAGTATTTTCTTTCCAATTCAGATGTTACCTCGAAATTTATAAACTACATCTCCGATTGGCGATTCCACTATTAAATATTTTAATTAGTTAGTTTGCAAAGGGGAACCGATACATAGAAAATTAGATCATTGGTTCTCTAAGAAAAGCTATAAATGCTCGTAATTAATTCCCATAATTACATTCAACGAAAATTTTCCATTTTGAAGTCATTTATAATTACATCTCACTTTTTCAGATCCTATCATTAAAGTAATCAAATAATATAGTAAATCAAATAATATTGCTGTTTTAGATGCTATTAAAATTTCTGGCCATATTTGGTCGCATTTAAATAATGGAAATATTCGATCGCCAAATTACGCAACCAAATATTTTGGCTTCAACCAAATATTTCAACAAATCTTTTTTCCGGTATATGGTTCAATCGAGCGAATTTCTTGTGGATGATGTAAGAAATTAAATCTGGAAATGTAAAACAATAACGATTGCTATGTTTATTAAAGTAGGGTGTATTACTAATATTATAATTATTTTACTCTAAACTTCTGAAATTTTGAGATAATTCTTAGAAAGTGGATATGTGCATAGAAATACGCAAAAATTCGATATATTTGTTTTAGCATCTTAAAAAATATTTGAAAGTAATTAAAAGTACTTAAACTGAAGCAGCAGGAATTTATGACCTTCTTGATGAAAATAATTCTTATTGTGAATTAAGATCGTACATTCTAAAAAGTAAAATAATTAGTATCCATTGTCATATTTTGCTGTATATTAAAGAAATGTGATATAATTAACGTAATATTAATCATTATAGAACTTCGATGATCCGATATACTTTGAAGTGTAATCACCTCGGATAATCGAAAATTTGGTTATTAGAGATTAAATAATGCCTTCTTTTCTTTTCATATAATTTCCTGAAATTTTTTGTTTAAAATACTAGAGATATATGCAAAAGTATTACAATTAGCCTCTTAACAAACCGTTTTATCGGTAAATAAAATTTATTTCCTCCAATCAAAGAAATAGTTTATACAAGTTTTTATTTGCAATAAGCAATCAGGAAAATTAGAATAAACAATTTTCATCAAATTTTCACATGTTTTAAAATTATTCTTTATTATTATTAATAATAATATAAAATCCATTAGTTTTTTTTTTAATTCAAGAACCCGCAGTGTTATCAGGCCGCATACACAAAAAATTCGTAGGTAAAGCAACAGAATGTTACTGTAAAGTTGTTTGAAGCTTTAAAACATGGCTAATTTTCATTCTTCGTTTCCGTTTCATCCTCAGCATCGTGATTTCGTAGTACCCTTTCTAATGTTACTCCATTTTCTCAGTAATTTCTTTAAAATGATTACCGGTTCAGAGATCCGGTTAACAATGGAGACTTCGGTTGATAAAGATCCGAGGTTATATTGTATTTCTGGAAGTTAAATCTGTGATTGTGTAAGTAATGCTACTGTTTTTCAGTTAGTAACAAACAAATGTGCATAAATACAGATAAAGTAATTGAAAGAATTCAAACGAAGTTAAGTTCAATGGACAGGCTAAATACATTTTTTAGTCATAAAGGACTAATAAGATTCCTATAAATGTTATTTTAATAGCTGAAATAAATTATTTAATTTTATGCACAAGGGCAGGATACTTAAAATCAGTATATCTTGTGAAAGGAAAAGAGTTAATTTCCTAATTGACATTTCCTAATTAAAACAGTTTTAATAGGTTTTTTAAAACTTTTCTATCAAAAATATGAAGCACGTGATTAATTAAATACGCAGATACATTGAGGTTTCATTAATAAATTTCTAAGTAAAACTGGTTCGCATTCAAGGAATATACAGTGGAATCAAAGGCCATTCCATTCTGGCTGCTCATAAACTGGAAATGAAATATCAAAGCTTTGCGATATTATTTATCTTAACCCAGGAAGGTCTTTAAAATAAAAAATGAAAATAAATCAATTAAGAACTGCACATTGAGATTTAAATTTTTTTTATTGATGTTTTACAGTATTTATTTGCAGTCTGGGATAAAAATATGTAACCAAAAATGAATAGAATTAAGAATTTTTTTTTATCAAAACAATGTTTTTAATTAATGAAAGATTGTTTCTTTTTATATCAGACGAAATCTGAACTTATGGTCTGAGCAATTTGGATTACATCTACTTCCTTTTGGTTCTTTAAAATCCTGTAGGAAAGAAAAATTTCCTGCGGGTGAAATTTCTTTAAAATATCTTTTAATGATATCCCAGTCAAAGTTTCTTAAAGTGCATCTAAAAACAGAACGCACATATATTTACAAAATGCATAGTAAAAATAAACCAATGAATATATACATATAATCTAACAATAAAGAAATAATGTAGACAAATTCCTACTGGATGGAATCAGATTTGCGGATAAGCTTACAATATTCTTTTTTGCATGAAATTAAAAAAAAAAAAATTAAGGGCTGAAACTTTAGGGCTGTTTTATAGTAGCTCAATATAGTATAATGATGGAATATAGGACTCTTTAATTTTTTCATAAAACAGTTTTTATCGTATTTTCTCTCTTAGGTAATAAGACATAAGTTCTGTAATTGTTTTATGTCTACGATATTGGAAAAAAAAAAATTGTCGAGTATTGTATAAACGTGTTTAAAAGGATTTTTAAACATTATCTCAGTTATATATATGTATTTTTAATAAGGTATAAAGTTGTACTGATTTTCAGAAACTTTAAATTTCTTAAGATATTGATGCCATAAAAATGTTTGTTATTTTAATTGCTGACGTTTGCCTTTAATAGAGATTTCTTTATGATGTTTAATGATCTACAAAAAAAAATATATATATATATATATATATAAAATGTATAATTTTCGTTTTAGTAATGGTAATATTTATAAATGGTTAAGGAGAATTCGTTTCTTACATAGTGCTGCCATCTACATGTTTATATGGAAAGTAAGAAGTGAAATGTTTAGTGCTGCCACCTATAAATCGAAAACAAAAGTGCAGTAATGCATTTTTTATAAATAGTTTTAAATGCTACATCATAAATAAATGAATAAATGTGTTAAATACCAAATTTAATTTGAAGTTTTATAATTTATGTAATTTATTTTGTAAGCCAGAAACGTTTACGGGGTAAACTTACCTGTAAAGTATTTATGCTTGTCAATAGATGGCAGCACTATGCTATTTAAATGTTACTCTCCTGACATATTTTCAACGAAGTATTAACGATAATTGCCATGGTGTTACTACCCGTAGCAAATTTTCATTCAAAGAGCGAAAGCGAGGGGGAATGCATATATATTTTAAAGCCGTGTTGTAAAATTTGAAAGCCTTGTTGTTAAAGTTTAATTTAAAAGAAATGTCTACACATTTTAATGAAAATTTTTAATCAAAATGTATTCTTTCTAAAATTAATTTTCAGATCGTGAAATGAATTATCTTTTAAAAATATTTTAAATTGATTATATTTTAATATGCAGCTATAACGTTTTCTTAATAACTTATCCTACAATTTATATCAACATTCTTATTTATATAAATTTTCAGTATGTTACTTTTGTTCATGTTTTTTATATTTCTTAAATATTTCAAATTGTACTATAATTCTTGATATTACAGGTTATCTTACTTGCCTATTACATGTTATATTTTGTGATACATTTTGTTTTTATTGCAGATTTTAATATAATAACTTAGATTATTTTAAAATTACATTTTGCATTTATCCACTACGATATTAAAAATGCAAATCAGAAATTTACTTGGAAGTTACAGATCAGAATCGTACTTCCTAGAATCAGAGAAAAAATAAAAATCTCGAGAGAGAGATTTCCCTTTCCCCTTTATTTTCTTTCTTTCTTTTCTCTTTTTCTTCTTCTTTTTTTTTTTTTTTTTTTTTTTTTTTTTAGGCTGACTTGAAATAAAACACTGATGTTGTTCAAATATGAAAGCAAAATTAGCGGTATACATTTAAATATATATACGATATTTTCACTAAATAAAATTAATGCCATATTCCTCAGTATTTTAAAATAGGTTGAGTCATTGTTTTTTAAATTATTATTTGGTGATTTTCTGCTGAATTGTTATTTACAGTTTGTTATTATTGTTTGTTATTATTGGTGATTTTCTGCTGAATTGTTACATCTACATACTTTACAGTTTTGAAGTACTTTAAAACTGTGAAGTATGTAGATGTTATTACGTACATATTTCAATATTTGCTGAAAATTACGACTCTACAACCAACTCCTTTGGCTAATTGTAATTCTAAAATTCATTATTCTTCTACTTTTAATAACATTCTAATGCAGTACTTATGTATGCAAATTACTTACTTATGTGTCATTTAGGAAAAGATATATAACGGTGGAGTTGTCAGTGAATCTACTCTCAGACTTCAGCCCACAAGCCCAGTTTCGCCTCCCGCTGCTGTCGTTTCCCCTAAAAACCTAGTCCAAAAGCGTGAAATTTTGCCAGTCGACAGCCCTACAAATGATACAATCGGTGCACCATACCTCAACGGTTGCAACTACCCACCTGCGTTTCCTTACGGTTCTCAAGCAGTGGGATCGAGTATAGGTAAAATATATTTAATAATACGATGTTATGCAAATTGGGTCTAAACTGATCATGATTGTATATTGTGAAAAATGATGTTGAAATAAGTAGTGTGAAATAATATAGAAATAATCGATTAGTAATTTTTGAAATTTAATTCAGTATATCAGTGAATGTAAAAAAAATATTGTAAATGTTATATGAATTTTCATAAGTTAAAAAGTTTAATGATTTTTGTGTTAAATACGTAATAGAGACTGACGTTGTTATAATAATTTTACTTTTCCATTACACTTTAAACTGATAATATTGCACTTGACTGACTATATTTGTTTAGTTAAAAACATGTTTTTAAAGTAAGTAAAAAATAAAGCACGTGATAACAGGATCTGTGTGTGTTTTTGAATAAAACATTGCAGAACTCATTGTATTTACAATAATGAGATAGACAGTGAAAAAAATTCTAAATATTACTACAGTATTTTTCAGTTACGTGTATTTAATTCTACATAACAGTATAAACATTTTTCGAAGGTTCAATATAATCTTCTACAGCTGTAAAAGTTAAAATGACATTACAGAAACATGCGCTTACTCTAAGATAAGAGACAATAAATTTTCAACAAACAACAGACGAAAGTTAAAAATTTGAAGTTTCCAGATAAATGATAGGAAACGAAACCACTAGTGTCATCTATTAATCGAAAACATGCGCGAAAAGCACTGGAAAATAATTTCTTGAAAAGCTGACGGTAAAGAGCTATTGAAATAATTTTGAATAGTTGCAGCAATACTGCAATTCACAAAAATTGTTTATAGGGCCACATTTTAGATACATTAACGCAGGCTTCTCTGGTACAATGCCTTCCCTTTCCAAATTAAAAAAATTATGTTTTATGAATTTAAGGTAAGTAAGATAAAAACTTATATATACATATTTTCCATGTTTTTTTAGGACCGAATAAAACATATAAAAAAGACTCTGAAGTATCCAATGTTAGAAGTACTTTTTATTAATTATTTTAAAGATGCATATTGTTATAAAAATTATAAATTATACGCCATGTTTTATATAAATCATACTGTTCTCTATTCCTTTTTAACGAGTTACTTCTAAAAAATACTTTTTACGAAACTCTAAAAAAATTACTATCTCAAATCATCATTGTAAAATGAAAAAATGAAATTCTTTACGGAGAGAATACAAAAAAAAAAAAAAAAAAAAAGAAAAGGAAAATAGCAATAATAACAGGGGGTATCATAATATCTAGGAATTGTTTTTATTCCCAGTAGTGCACAATTTAATTTAAAGTAATGTGAAATATATAATATTTTGATTAAAAAACTAATAACCGTAACTGACACTTGACGCGAGTTTGTACTGAGAACATTATGTAAGCTTTCGTGTAAATATTTTTCTTTAATATATATTATATATCTTTAATATATATCTTAATGTATATAACATATATATCTTTAATATATATCTTAATGTATATAACATATATATCTTTAATATATATATGTGTATATATAATTATTATAAGAAAAGTTGTGAGAACAATACATAAAAAAGACCAATTTTGGTCAAAATTTTTTGCGCAATTTGCTGCAAAATTGAGAAAGTGAGAAGATAAATTGTAGTAAGCTCGTCAAAAAGTTACCAAAAGCTGTGGCTCCAAGAAAACTCCAACATAAGCATATAGTATATCAATTTTTAATACATATATATAATTTATATATCTTTAATATATATATAAAATAATTTATATCTCTATATCTTTAATATATAATTTAATATCCTTGCTCTTATATTTCTAATAATTTTTTCCTTACATTATTTATTCCGGATCACTTTTGTTTTAAATATTAATTTAGTTTACGAAAACCAAATCAGTTTAATTTTGAGAATAAACTGATTCACAAATCTGTTTATTTCTTAAGTTAAACTGCTTAAAGTGTAGCTAAACTATTAATAAATATATTTTAATTTTACAAATTGCCGTCGTATTAATCCTGCGTTTTAGTTAACTTTGGACGTGGTTTCCGATATTATTCCTGTAAATTAGGAGTCGACTGTATTATTAAAAATATTAATAACACGAACAGACGTAGACATACAAAGATAAGAATATGTAACAACTTAGGTAACTTTTAGTATGTATTTTATTTGCTATTAATACTATAAACCTCATGTATGTACAAATAATCATCAAGAATATTCTTTTCTCAAAAGAAAGTTTTTTAAACATTTAGTCTGCTCCAAATCCATGAACCCGGAGAACGCAACAATAATTTAAAATTGCCTCAATGATATAAATTTTGATCACTATTATTATGATTAATATAAAAATGTTAACTGTGCCAAATTTTTTACACCCACTTTTTACATTACGCATAGGAAGCATAGCAATATTTTAATATTTATCTAAGCGCACATGATACATGTTTAAAATAATTTCATACTTCGTTTTCGTGATTTTTATTCCATATTGTAAATTAATTCCTTTTTTAGAAGGTCTTTTCAAATGCGAAACTTGCGAAGTATCCTTCAGCAGTCGACGAGTATTAGAAGTGCATCAAACGTATTATTGTCAAGGAAAACAATCTGGACATGTAGCGAGCTCAGACACCGATACGGAAGATGCGATCAAAGATAAAACAGGTAAATTTTAATTTTAACTCTTACTTACTCTTATAAGTAGTCTAGGCATATTTATCTACGTCCATAATTTCTGCATACACAAAAGTTTATGCTAGGAAAGTATGCTAGGAAAGCTGAATGCACATGCTTAAAGCTTATCTAAAATGCATTACTTAATATATTATATTTTATGTCTTGCATGCCTGAACATTTATTGAACAATTCAGAAAGTTGTACTATGGATGTTAATACACATTTAATCTGTCTAAATGGGGATTTGGGCCATAATGTATGTTTATCATTGATGTGTTATGTATTAATAGATAACTATATAAAGCAGTGAATATCTCAAGCGATTCTTTCTTGCACATTTTATGTTTTACTTAAGTAATGCTGAATAGGACAAAGAATATAAGACATACTTCTTGCATTAAATCGTTTTGCTTATATAAAAATATTACTATTCTGCAAATAATACTCAAATTTTGAAGTCATTTGAACTTCTATCAGTTGAATTTTTTAATTAGTTTGATCTTCCATTTGCCCCCAAAATATATTAAATAAAAAATATGTTAAGTACCAAGCATGAAAGAAATGGCTTTATAGGAATTATTCATCGCAAAAAATATATATATGTAGAAATTTTGATATATAATGGAGAAAAAATTGATTTTCTGAAAAGCAATAATGAGCTAAATGAATTTTTTTGATAAACATCGTTAGTAAGCAGTGTTTTATTTTAATATTACCAAGAAATCCACATCTGCTGTTACTTAAATACATCTTAATCTGGATAATGCATATAAAATGACTGATGATATGTTTTTCTATAAATGCATTTTTCAAATACACACTTACATGTTTCTCAGAACCATATAACAAAATAGCAGAAGTTTCTTTCCAGTAATTTTAATTATTTACAGAACCGCAAAAGAAAGCCCTATTTTGAACATTTAATACATTTTAAAATCGCTTAAAAATATTAGTTTTTCAAAACTCCCATCAATTTTCAAATATACCTTCCTATTATTAAAACGAATTATAAATTTCGAAGGGGGAATAACTTTTAATATTCAAGCTTTATGAATTTCACACAGGCTGAGAAGCCCATTTCATCTGAAGTTTTTAGTGGTAATCTTAGGATATGCTTACTATTCCTTAAGAATTAATTATTGACGGTCGTTGGAGATACGACGCCCCTGATAATTCCGAGTCCTAATAAAGACAGCAGAAACTCATATTATTTTCAACGAAATTGAATTTATCCTTTCTTTTGGTGGTACTTAGAATGCCCTCCGCGAAGGAATCACTATCTTTAGGCAGATAGCCTTTGCGTTCTTTCTAATACTAAATAAAGAAATTTTCGTGGGGTCAAATTTCTCAATAATTGTCAAGATTTATGATTAGTGCTGCCATCTAGCCTTAAAAATCTACGTTACGAAATATTAAGGAAAAGAAAAATTTTATGGTTGGTATCTATCCTAAGCTTTAAATACTAAATTCTAAACGTAAGACCTCGAGCTTTTGAGTTGTGTATTTCTATGTTAAGCATTTTATCATGACATTAATTCAAAAACTGCTTAGTTAAGTTAAAATATTTCTGTTTATACCTAAAAACTCTTGAATTTCAAGAGGTTCATTAAATGGTTCTTGCATGTTAAAATTCAATGATTATTATTGCTTCATCATTAGTGTACTGTGTTTTAGCACGCCGTACTTGATTAGGATACGAGCATGGATTCAGCACTGCGGCTTAAATTACTTTTATACAGCTTTCTGAAATTTTGAAGCTAAAAGATTATATGGAGGATCAAAATTAATCTCGGAAGTTTAGCGTTGTTTCATTTAAAGGATATAAAAAAAAGATATATAAGTGTAGATTTTTATTTTTTAATAATATAGGACTCATTTAGGATATTGTCCAATATATACTACTAATTGATCCTTGTATTTACAAATAAAAATTGCCATAAACAAAACAAGTGTTGCAATTACGTATGTTTAATTTTTTCCCTTTGAATACTAATATAACAAAATGACACCTGATAATTCTACCACTTAATACGCTTAAGGGTAAATTTTAGTGTTTGTTTCGTAAACATAAAGTAAAAACATAAACAGGCTATATGTACCTTGCATTGGAAATCACTAGCACGCAAAAATTACACCGTTATATTTTGTTCTTCGAAACCTGACTTCCAAAATTTTGATACAAAAATCTTCTCCTCTTCCATAAAACAGACCTTGAGAAAATTATTAGACAATTATACTGAGAATTTTGCGCTATTCCAGAACAAATATGATATATTTATTTCAGTGCAGATTGCATTTCATCGTCTCATTTCCTTTCGATATTTCATAGGTAGAACATTTATTCTAATTTGATATCATCTACACATAATTCATGACTATAGTTCATTAACTATCATCAGAAATTAAAAATAGAACTATGAGTCGAAATTAATCTTGATCAGAAATTACAATTCATATTTTGTTTTGGATAGTCAAGTGTGAATTTTAAATATTTTAATCTTCAGGATTTTACATCGTACATTGTGTTCTGTAAGATAAAAATCTCTCTGCTCTGAAATCCAAGAACAAATACACTAATAATACATGGCGAATTCTATGTCAGATGTATGATTTGTCAGTGCTATCAGAGAGCTAAATTTTTACTAGTAGGGGCAACTGCAACAATATGAGTAATGAGTGTCATTTGTGACCAGCAATGATCTTTTGATAGTTATTTATTTTGTTGGGAGTGCGGTTTATATCAAAAAGGAAAAACATATACTTGATTTTATTTGTAAATCATTTTTCAGTCATTTGCAAACTTGTTGATTTTGTTCTAGAGTTTTGGTTTTCCATTTTCATAATTTCTAATGATTAAGAACTGAGCTAAATTCTGTCTATCACCTATAGGGTGCTCAAGGCCCTTGCCAACGACAGGCGCAATCTTACCTTCTTGCCAAGATTAATTTCGTCTGTGATATCTCTTCTTGCTCTGATATCAGAGAAGCAATTAGTCAGAGCAATAATTATGATTTGCCGCCCAACCGGTGTAGTGGTTAGCATCCCTGACTGCCGTGCCGAAGGGCCCGCGATCGAATCCCAGAGAAGGTATGGATGTTTGCAAATGTATAGTGTCCGTACTCTAAATATGTGGCGAGCCTAAAGTCCTCTCGAGAGGTTGGTAGTAGGGGAAGAGTGGTGAGAGACCCAAGGACCCTTCTTCCCAGAATGCTCTCCATGAAAATTGTGAGCGGAACTGATCTAAGTCGCACAGTCCTATAAAGTGCTCAAGGCTGTTGCCAACGACAGACGTTATGTTGCGCTCCTTGCCACGAGGAATTATGTGGGCCTGGGCTGACTGTACGTCAGATAAGTGAGTATTAGCAACAATAACAACAACAACTATAATTATAATTTAGTTTACTTAGAACATCCCTTATTTTTATTTTAAATGTGGTCTTTCTTCACATGCATGGGAAACTTCACATTTGAAGCTTTTGCAGACACATAAACTTGCTCTCCTTCAACTTCAGTATGGGCTATATATATGCATAGAAAGCTTTAAATTTAAAACTTTTATCGCAGACACTAATCAACATGCAGAAAACGCGTGGATACAGTTTCCACCAATTCATCTTTAAGAATATTCAGAGGACTAGAAGAATGGACAGATTTAAAGGAAAAATAAATGCAGGCTTCGATAATTCAAAGGGTTATAACGCTTGTTAGCAGACGGATTAGTCTTTAGATTCATTTATCGATCCAAGTAAAATCATTATACTAAATTTCAGCTGGAATGAGACCCTTTGGCAAAGTCCTTCATTAACACGGTACTTAAATGGAATTCTATCTCACTAGATGGATATTCTTAGAGCGAGAGCGAATCACAGCAAATTTTGAAATGGCAATAATTTCCATTATTTAGTAATCACAACATTAATTCACAGATCTAGGTACTGGTTTTGATTCCAGTTCTGATCTAAATATTGGTTGGTAAATCTTCTAAATTTATAAGTGAGAACAAAGGTGTCTTCCACTACCATTTTTTAAAATTAAATCTATGACCTAATATTTTACATTCCATATCATCTGGTTTCATGTTTGGAATGCAAATATTTTAATTCTTATTTAATTTGAAATCATCCAGAAATAAAAACAAAAAGAAATATTAGAAAATAAACATTCTTTTATTTTCTTGCGGTTAGGGATAACTTCTTAATACTTTCCTGTAGGAAAATATAAGAATACTCATAAACGGAAACTATCGAATTTTGCTCTATTTTATTCAATTAAACAATTGAGAAATAATTTGAATTGCCATTTCTACGTTAAGTCCGAATAATTTTAAGAAAGAAAATTTTAATTAGGAACATTTAACACGTTTTTGGCTTTCTCACTCAAACCTCATTAGGATTAAAAATATTTTTAATATTATTATTTTTAATTATTATATTAAGCAAAAATCAACCGCTTAATTCGCTTAATTTCATAGCAAGAATTTGTATGCTTTACAAGAAGATAGGCACAGACTTCCTGTTCTTCAAGAAAAAGTATTCTGGTTTTGAAGAAAATTCAGCCAGATAGCCAGATAGCGCTAGAAGTGTCTCTCTGCTCAAACTGAGTAGTGCAAAAAGAAGTTTTCTAAACACTGTTCCTTACCGGATTCAGATTTCCTTTTTCCTTCCAACTTTCTGCATTCAAACTATCAAATGAAGATTTGATTGATCAGAAACACGTTTTCTCACTATCTAAAATTAGACATCCATTCTTCCTCAGATGATGTGAAATTTTTGTGCCCGAAAAATATTTAGTGAAAATTTGGCATTCCATTAAGTAATTAAATAAATTATACTGAAATTCATATTGATTGTTATCATTCTTACAGAATTATAAATCGAAAGTCAAATGCCATTTAGGAATTCACAGCCTTACTGTAGGAATTTTTGTTTTCGATGCTAAAAGAACTTGAGAATCAAATTACATACGTACTCTTGATTTTCAACAAGCGT